GAGTCTGCTGTGAGATTTACAACCCAACCACTCCCTCTGCTATCGAGTTGATTCTGACTCAAAGCCACCCTATAGGACAGGGTAAATCTGCCCCATAGGGTTTCCAAAGCTGTACATCTTTACAGAAGCAGATTGCCACATCTTCCTCCTGTGGAGCTGCTGGTAGGTTCAAACTGCCAACCCTTTGGTTAGCAGCTGAGAGCTTAACCACTGCACCACCAGGGCTCCTGAGAGATTTACAAAGGAAGTAAAAAAATTCCTTCAGTACAAATCCATATTTGTACACACAGCTGAGGAGCTCAATACCTGAGAATGTCTATGTCAGCAAACACATTGCAATAAACGTTGTTGGGGCTAAGCTCCATCTAGGGAAACGGTTGGGCTGGGCTGGGCTGAAGTGAAGAAACCGGAATCCTGTAAATGAATGTAACCAGGCAAGCTCTATGGGTTGGTCCCATAATATATCTGTCCCGCACTGTGTGGTCCTTCATTTGTCATACTCCATTCAGAAACTTCCAGGACTGCTTGCTGTCTTGCTCAGAGGTAGTGTGACAAAGTGGGAAGAAGGCAATCATTGGAGTGAGAGAAGTCTGGATTTGAATCCTTGCTCTGCTGCTTGCTAGTTGTTAAGTATAGGGTTGAATACAAGCTTTTGTGGTCTTAGCGTCCTCACCCAGGGGACCAGGCTTCCTCAGAGGTCTAGCAATAGTTAGTTACCGGTAGAAGCTCTGTCAGCATTCGTTTCCTTGCCTCTGTTTTATTTAGTCTTTGAACTAAATTGTAAGTAAGTTGAGTCAATGGGATGGGAAAAGAAACTAACATTTTAGGCACCTCTCATGTGCAGAAAGGAGCCCCGGGGTAATCAAACGCTGGTGCTAGGAGAGACCTCCAAGGCCACAGAGGCCAACGCTCTCATTTTAGAGGCGAGAACACTGCTCAGTTGGAGATTGTCCACACTTCCCACAGCACTATACTTGGTGCCTGGGAGACCCTCAGTGAATGTTTGTTGGTGGATGAAATGACTTAGGAAGACCTCATAAAGAAAAGAACTTAGTCTTATGGTGCAAGCAAAAGTCACTGTTTGGCACCATTTGACAGGCTTCCCCAATGTCACTACTTTGCCCAGACTGGGACCTGGCTGTCCGATTTGTGGCTCAGTATCTCTCAAAGAATGGTTTGCCAATCCACCTTCCTTGAGAAACCTCCAGCTGAGTCGAAATCTGGACTTAAATGAAAGGTGCTTACTATGGATTGAACCGTATCATCCAAAAATATGTGTTCAAATCCTAATCCCTGTACCTGTAAATATGACCCTGTTTGGAAATTGGAATCTTCTTTTGTTGTATTAATGAGGTCATATCAGAGCAAGGTGGGTCCTAAACCTAATCACTTCCGAGTTATAAAAAGAGCAGAACAGACACAGAGACACCCATGGGGAAGATGCCATATGAAGGAAGATACACATGGCAGATGCCATCTACAAGCCCAGGGACTCAAGGGACTGCTGGCTACTAAAAGCTGAAATAGACAAGGAAGGACCTCCCACTAGAGCCATGCCCTGAATTCGGACTTCTAGCCTCCTGGACTGTGGGAAAATAAATTTCTGTTCTTTAAAGACACCCACTTGTGGTATTTTTTGTTACTAGATCCCTGGATAACTAAGACTGTACTCAGAAATAGATGCTCAGGATTCATAAAGTATCTTCAACTATATAGGTAACTCTATATCGCAAGGCCAAAAAAAAAAAAAAAGAGATTTAAAAAAAAAAAGAAGATACTTAACCCAAAGTCAATACTAACTTAGGGTAGGTGAAAAATACAGTACCGATTGCAAAGAGAAAAGAATCAAGAGTAGCTATAACAATGCCATTTTTTACCTAAAAGGAATACAATATCCTCCATCCCTACCGAAGCAACTGTTGTTTCTTCTTACCCGGCATTGTTACTCTCTGTCACCCTTATCATCATCTGGCATATTGTATTTATTTGTTTATTCAGTTGAGACTTATCCATTCACTGGAATGTAGGTTCCATGAGGGCTCAGACCTGGTCTGTTTTGTTCATCGATGTATCCTCAGTGCCTAGAACAGTTCCTGTCACATAATTGGCTCACAATACATATTTGTTGCATAAATGAGTTAACGAATAAGTCTGATGTGGATAAGGAAGTAGCATACGGGCCTTTTGCTTATAAAATTTGCCCAGGAGTTCACTAGCCGTTAAGAACATCTATCTCAGTTCTCTGCTCTGATTCCACCACCACCAAACAACCTTTCATTTACATCTTCCCATGTGCCTTTTCCTACAAATGAGAATGCAGGAAATACTATTTTGGTTCACTTGGCATGATATTTTTTACCATAAATTAATAGGTTGGCGTTCCACTTTTTTAACTGGTTCACAACTTGAAGAATTCAGAGGACCAGAATCTCAACCAGGATGGAAATCTGTAGTGAATAGAACAAAGGATGGAGACTTGGGTTCTAGATCTACCACTGCTTTTGACTCACAGATGTGGGGTTAAAAAAAAAAAAAAATCACTTCTGTGGGCTTCAGGTTTCCCATAGAGGCACTGAACTTGATAACTGCTGAGTCCCTTCCGTCTTTCAAAGTTAGGCTTCTTTAGAAATTAATAAAGTGATGTCTTCCAGGTATTTTGACTTCCTAAGAGAGGCACTTAGGGGCTGTACACTGTCACTGCCTACTGGCAATATACTGTAGCTCGCTTGGGTCACAGGGTCAGCACTTTTCCTGAGGTCAGTTATCATCGCCTCGAAAAGACAGATGGTGTCCTCATTAAAAATCTAAAATGCCAACAGAGATGCCCCCCAGAGAGATAGAGATCACACAGCAACTGTTCTCATGTTTAAAATTACACAGGTCATGGGTGTGGGGAGGTGGAAGGAGGTATAAGAGGGAAGGAAAAGCAAGGTAAAGGATGTCTAGGTGATGGAAGAAGCAGGTGCAGAGAACACAGTTTGGAGAGTTGCTCTTTTTCCCATTAGAACCTTGTAGACTCTTAGGCTTGACAAGTGAGAAATGTGTCCATGAACTTTCAGTAGAAACGTGAAACTACTTCCATTACTAGCCACAACACTGCGGGCAGGGAGCAAGAGCTGAGTGTCCCATAAATTTACCTTTCCTGAGAGGTTTTAGTCACCATTTTCCAAGGCTGCTCCAAGCCTGCTTTCTCTGTAGCCCTTCCAGCATTCATTATTTGGACTTCCTTGATCTCCTAATTGTCTGTTTGCAATATAGGTATTGGGCTATATCTCAAATTTACACCTTCAGAGCAGACTTCTCACCTGAGTGCTAGTCTTATACGATCACCTGCCCACAAATCAGTACCGCTTACGTAACTTTAAACTTAGTATGTCAAAAGCAAACACTGAATGAGTCCCCCTTCCTGACTCACTCTGTTTCAATCACTGGCGTCACTAATCTTATTCTCAGACTTAAGTCTGGAGTTATTTTTCACTCCTCACAGCCCTTCATCCACAATCCTCCCCAACCTCCATATACAACAATCAACTCACCAGTTTACCCACTGCTCAATAAACATTCACTGTTTTCTTTCCTGTATTACGATCTGAAATTATCTGATTAATCACCCAAGATAGCTGTGGCTTCCCTCACAGAGCCTCCTGAGTTTCTCTCTTTTCTCTCAGCTCCACTTAATCCAGGTGCTTGTCACCTCACACCTAAACTCCCAGAGTAGTTCTCTTATTGGCCTCCCAGCCTCTAAGTTTGCCCTGCTTAGATCCATCTAAAATAAACCGACAGACTGATCTTTTTAAAACCATTTTTTGCCAAGTCATATTTTGACTAAGAATCTATGAGGGTTCTCATTTACCAATCAGAGTGTTTACACACTCCTCATTTGGCATTTAGGAGCTTCAGTCAACTGCTGCCTCCTTCCTCAGCTGTATTTGATCTATCTTGGTCTTTATTTAACCCATACTTGTTTGAACATCAACTATGGGCCAGCCACTCTCTCTATCACCCACCACTCTTCAAGATTCTTCCTCCTCTTCAATTACGCCCAGTTTATGTGATACAACTTTGCAGCTACCACAGTGATTCCCACCCCTTGGTCTTTGCTTGTGCTCTTACCCTGCAATCTTCTCCTTTCTGCCAATCTGCCAGATCTGCTATCACTTCCCAGATGTGCCTTCTTTGGAGGTTTCCCATATGAATGAATCCCAGACCACAACCACCTTTCTCTTTTCTGAATTCCTTCAGCATTCTGTCACTAGATATCTATTGCCAAGTATTGTTCTCTTATTATTTCACATGCATTTGTTGGTCTCCCCAATTAATATTTGAGCTTCAGAAGAGCAGGGGTCAATTTTTCCATCTCCTTTTATGCAGATCTAGATAGGGTAAGGACAGACTCAAGGCCAGTAAGTACCTTGATTTTGCACGTAGCCCACTTGCTGCAGCATAGGCAATAAAGGCAATACATGTGCACTGAAGAGCTAAAACTAGCTCCTAGCACAAAGTTAGAGACTCGGCCATTCTTTCATAAACATCAAATGTAGAGTTAGATTTTTAAAAAATAACTCAAGCCCCTTACACACCATGTGCTCCTTTAACACAGAAATTTCTATGGTTTTCATCTGAAATACAATGGCCGGTATCATCTACTGAGTCTCAGTCACTAATCAGATTTGAAATCTTTGTCTCTTCTTGGCCAGAATGCTAGGTCCCATGGGGACAAGAAGGCACCATCTAAGCTGCCTCTCTCTAGAAGTTGCCCCTACACCTGGCAACTACCTACAAGTTAGCATCAGTTCATGCCCTTGAACCAAAGGTTGTCTGACTCCAGTACAACCCAAGTATCTGTAGGAAAATTTGTAAGTTCAGCTGCCTCCCTTTTAGTCCAGTTGCACAATGGCTTGTCCAGACCCAGAACACAGCCAGGTGATGGGCAGCCCCTTAGAGAAAGCAGAGACGTCCCTTTCCCTTAAGATCTTAGAATGAGAGGGAAATGGACTTACCCTCACATAGTAGTTCATGCCCATCCCCAACAGGTGCTGGAGAAAGTGTCTGTCCTGCCTGTTCCCAGGGACTGGCTCCCCAGGGCCGGGAAGCGGGCAGACGTCTTGAGTCAAGGCTTGTGCTCTGTGTCCCGCCGGGTCGCGCTGGGGCGCGGGTACAGATTCGGCCCTATTTTGACTGGTTTCAGGGGAAGTGGGGCGGCCCGGAGCGGCCTCCTGGCTTTCCTGGAGCTTCAGCCGAAGCACCTCTTTGGTACCCAGGCAAAAGTTTTTCAGACTCAGCAAGGTGGCTGGGCTGGCCAGCTTCACACTTGCCATGCGGGGGATCAAGGTGCACAGAGGAGTTGGGCTCTCCTGGGGCGCCAAGGTGGCATCTTCCGCGGGCTGATTAGGTGCCAGGGCGGGGTAGGGCGGCTGCGGCGCAACCTTGGCCCCGACCGCGCCTCCGGGGCTGCCTTCGTCCAAGGACGTGACGGACTCGTTCCGAAAGCGGCTGTACTTGGCCCTGTGCAGCATCGCGGCGTGCCCGAAAAGTCCTACACACAGCGCGAGTCCTGCCAGGCTGTCCTGACCGCGGTCTCGCATAGCCTTGGCAGTGCTGAAACAGGATACTGTTGCATAAATCGCCTCTTCGTCTGGCAGATAAACGGCTCGGAAATCAAATTCCTCTCCGCCCCGTGCAACTCGCGGCAACCACCTCTCCAACTCTTTTCTCTCAGGAAGCCGGCCTTGGCTCCCCGCCCCTTAAGGTTGACAGCCCAGGGGAGAAACGCCTCCCCAGCTCTGGTTTCAGTCCCTCGCTGGCCCCGGCTGCAGCTGCCCGGCTTCTCGCCGTGGATCCCTTGCTGGGCACGTCTGGACCGAGGCTGCGGGCGGCTGTGTCGCTCACCGCCGATTGCTCGGCACAGCCCGGGCCCGAGCACCCGCCGGGCTCCGCCGCATCGCTAGCCTTGCAGAAGCCCCAGAAACATTGAGCACCCAGCCCCCAAGCCTCCCGCTCTCCACACGAGAACTTTCAAACCTGCTCCCTCCGGCTCCCACAGGGCGGGGCAACGACTGGCCTATTAACCCTTTATTTGTTCCAGGGATTGCTCATTTTAAAAAGAAGAAACAATGTCTCTATGAGCCAATGGCCCTTCTGTCTGGGTTAGTGAATTCGGATGGCTGCCTCCTCTTGAAGACCTTGTCTTGCATCCCGTTCCAGGCCACAAGCCAGGAGTACTAGAGCCAGGCGCTGCTCCGCATTGTTTCACCGACTGGCGGTCCCTCCATCTTCCTCAAATCCCCTCCGGGCCTGCCCACCCTCGCTCAGAGCTTCCCTCCCTCCTCTACTCCTCTCTGCGCTTCTTTCAGAAACCCGTTCGCAGCAGAAGGCTGAGATGTGCACGGTGATACGCAGAGTGTTAAATTTTTATGAATGAACTTTGCTGAATGGATTTCGCTGTGTGTGTGCAAGCTAATAAATCTGTGAATGAAGCTGAGAATAGCTGTAATTGACTGACGGTCTCCGGGGTGCTTGGTTTTTATCCAATCCGGCGGCAGCTTGATGACTCATGCACCATAAATATACTAAACTAGTAGCCTTGAGAAATAAAGCTGGGGGGCGGAGGGTAGGTTTATTCTGTGATATCGGATGAATGGGTTAAAAGGAAACGCAATCTTGGCTATCAGTCAGCAGCAGGCTGGAGAGTAGCAGGTTAAAAGAACTATTTTCTTTCTTGTTGAGAGGGGTGGGAAAGCTAAGCAGAGGAGCTCAAAATGAGATCCATTGTTCCGCGGATATTAAAACACAGGGTACACAACTCCTGTGGGGGGCCGTGATGCATCTTTCTTAGAAACACCGTTCTTTTTTTATTGATTGTTGGTTCCATCTCCGGTCTGGTGCAACGTCCTACACCTATCAAATGCATTCTGAAGACATGATGATAACCGCAAGAGGCCCAGCACACAGGAAGCCAGGAAGAGAGCCAGGAAAGGAAAGTGCAGGTTCCTTTAGGAATAGAGAAGAAGGAACTGCTGAAACACTGGTGTGTGTGTGTGTGTGTGTGTCTGTGTGTGTGTGTGTGTAGGAAATTACACACAAGAAGAGACAAGCAAATTTCCGCTGAAGGGTAAATTTCTCCGTCAGGTAAGGCCCTTGTGTCTGAAATTGTTCATTAATTTCATTAAAAATTAAAGCCAGTTGGCAACCACAGGAATCAGCGATGCCACCTTCACTGTCTTATTACCCACAAGGCTGCGTTAGGCTCGTGTATCTACGCCTGTGGTGGCCTGAGCTCCCTAGGGATCCAATCACAGGTCTGGATTTAATGGTTTCGTGTGACGAGGCATCTTCACGGGTTTCCCACTCCTCCACAGAAATAATGTACCTTTTCACATTCTGTCTGTAAAACCTGTTAGGATGTGTTTTCTCCCTGGGAAGGCCTGTGTGCATTGTCATAAACCTCTCTTCAATCCTTGCTAACCTTCTTCTCCTACCCCCACACCTCCTCCTGGCAGAACTGAGGGGAATGGCCTAAATTAGTTGAACCTTACATGGCTGGGACCGAGGCTGTGGGCAAGGTTGTGAAGTAATCAGTCTGTTACCTCTTATTCCTCTGCCTTCCTCTCTTTCTTTCCTTCCTCCTCTCTCTCCCTCTTCCTGCTGTCCCTTCCTTGCTGTCATAGACCCCAGGGACCTTGGGAAAATGCAATCTGTGCCTGAATTTCCTCATCTATTAGGACCATCTACCTAATGGAGATGTTATGAAGATTAATGAGAGAATCCTAATCCATGTAAAGCACTTGGCACAGTGCTTGGCACAGTGCCTGCCTCATTAGTACATACTGAGCGGTATAAAGAAAGGAATTGGAACAGGTCTGCTTCACTGCGAAGTTGATGCTTGTGCCCTCTACTGTGTAGAGTGTAACCATTCTGGGTAATTAAAAAGAAAAATTAGCACCAAATGGAAGAAGCCAAAAAAGCCAACGTCCAAAGAAACAATCTCCTCACAACCCTGTGGGCCTGAAGAAGGTAGGGAAATGGCAGGAGACAGCCTGGCTAATGTGAATTCTTGCCGACGTCCTCATGATGGGGGTCTCAGGAAGGCTGGGTGTAGGACGAGGGAAGCCAGCTCACCTGGGCAGGTACCATGCTGGCATTGGCCTCCAGAGGGCTCAGACCAACCCACATTCCCCAGGAGGAGTGAATTCTGGCAGAGACCAAGTGGAACCAGCTAAGGTAAGAGAGCAGCCACAGCCACTGGAGGAACCCCGGAAAACCTTGGCTCTACTAGACAGCTCCACCAGGAACCTTTATGAGGGTGAAAGGGGCGCAGAGCTGGAACTTGGAAGTGGGAGGCAGCCTCAGAGGCCCAACAGCTACTTCAACCCAAAAGTTTGGACAGGGGCTGAAAAGCCACCCCAGTATCCCAAGAGAAGACTTATTGAATGGATTTCCATGCTAGGGAGGTGGGTGGGGAAGGTGGATGGTTTGCTTTTTCCCAGGACATTAGGACATCCTCTTTTATTCCCCCTTCCCCCACCCCATGGTTGTGATCTTTCAGAAGTAGATCACTAGGACTTTCTTCTGAGGTACCTCTTGATGGATTCAAACCACCAACTTTTTGGTTAACAGCCCAGAGCTTAACCGTGTGCGCTACCCAGGGATTACTAAAACATTGTCTTCAATTAGTAATGATGAAAACAATAAGAGCCACTGTTACAGAACACCAGACACATCACATACATTCTCATTCCATCAACACAACAGTTTGCTGAGGCTGGGACTACTTCTATCACCATTTTACAGATGTGGAACGAGGCTCGGAGCAAGTTCAACGACTTGGCCAAGATCCCCAGCTGAAGAAGGATGGTACAGGGATTCCTTTGGCAGCTCTGCCTGACTACAAAGCCTGTGCTGGAGGCCACTGTACTCTGCTGCTCCCAGGGGACCCAGGGAGCTCAAGTCTAGATTCCAGGCCTATGCTGATGGCTTCAGGCATCTCGCTGCTCCCAGAGGCCCAGGAAAATGCCTGAGCGGGAAGAAGAGCTGGGGATTTCTTGACGATTCTAGGATTGTAGAGAAACCTACCCTGAGCCTGCCCTCACAGATCATCCAGAGAAGGACCTGACAATATTCTCCCACCTACTGTTTTGCCCATCGTATTCCCTCCACAACTCCTGGGGAAAATTGTATTTAGTTCAAAGATAATTTCTCAAGAGTGAAAATACTAGACTAGACATCTCAAGAAATCGGTAGTTGGGCCACTACCTACAAGCTCTGTGTACTTAATGTAATAGAAAGAGCATTAGTTGGAAGTTAAAAAACCAGCTGTGGGCTATTGAGCAAGTTACTTAACCTCTTTGAGCCTCAGTTTTCTTATATGTAAAAATGGGCACAATAATAATGGCTAATATCTTTTGAGGGGTCTCTGGGTAGCACAGACAGTTAAGCACTGGGCTACTAACCGAAAGGTTGGTGGTTTGAACCCACCCAGAGATGCCTCAGCAGAAAGGCCTGGTGATCTTCCTCCAGTAGGTCACAGCCATGAAAACCTTATGGAGTGCAGTTCTACTCTGCAACACATGGGGTCACCATGAGTTGATATCGATTCAACAGCAACTGGTGACTGGCGAGGCAGGTTAATATCTTCTGAACACTTACTCTAGACCAGATCTGTTGTTGTGTGCCACAGAGTCGATTCTGACTCAGTGATCCTATAGGACAGAGTAGAATTGCCCCACAGGGTTTCCTAGACTTTAATCTTTACAGGAGCAGATCTTCAGGTCTTTTATCCCTAGGAGTGGCTGGTGGGTTTGAACCATTGACCTTTCAGTTAACAGCTAGGCTCTTAACCATTGTGCCACCAGGGCTCCTTAGACAAGATCTAGTTCACATTAAATGTGAACTAATTGCTTAACATTCAATCTCTATAGCAACTGTGACAGGTGCTATTTATCCTCCCAAGAGGCAACTGAGGCCCAGAGAAGTTTAGTGGCTTATCTAAGCCACACAGCCAGTAACTGCCCACTCTAGTGTGGAACAGAGCACTGTCTGACTCCAACTTCATGCCCTAAACCACTGTGATGAGCCAGTGTACGTAAGTACCTGATCCCACCAGGTGAGCACTAACGGTTAGCTCTTGCTCCCTTATCCTCTCTTGGAGATCATACCTATAAAATTCACCCTATACACCTCACTGGATTACTAGGAGTAAAAACATGAGTAATAAATAAGAAAAAACATTATTGTCATTTAACCATCACAGAACTATTAACCCTCTCATCATCACCATTGGAAATCAGGGTTCTGCTTAGAGCACTGCTGTGTGCCTCCTTTGGTTTTGAGACCCCTGACAAGGTTGCCTGCTGTGAGTCAACATGTTGGCTTCTCAATTTCAAACCAAAGTGTTGAAGATGCAGTCCGTTTTTTTCTTAGAGCTTAGAGCAAAAAGATAAATTGAGGGAAGAACTGTTAAACAAAAAGGAACAAGGACTTGATGGTTTGGAAGACTCTCAGCCTATCTAATGGCAAAAGATGCTAAAATTAAGAGAATCACTGTCAGAAAAGTGTGCTGTACCAGAAAAGGCAGGAATGGCCACACAACTTTTTGCTGATACCTTAGAAAGATCTAAAGGCCAGAGTTTCAGTCACACAAAAGGCTCTTGGAAGA